ATGAAGAAAGTTTGATTAATAATGCTATTGAATTTGTAAACAAAATATTGAATGAAAAGATGGTTTCAAAAACTGAAAGAACTTGTTATACTGCTGTTCTTTATTTTTTTCGGTTACTGTTAGACAGCAAGGAAAAATAGAAGTATCAGAAATAGTTGTAAAAGTAGTTAATGGTAGTTCATGGCTCGCAAGGTGTATCAGAAAATGGGCAAACATTTGCATGAAAGAAGAGTTAATCCCACCAAGTTTAAGAGGAAAAATGCCTATGAAAAGTCTGCTTCATAATGAATTTGTGTTTCTTCAGTTGGCTGCTTACCTATGATCTCAAAAATTCAATGCAACTCCTGAATTAGTTAAGAATTATTTAAATCAACACATTTTACCTCAATTAAATATTAGGCCTGTACAATATATTTCAGTTCAGACTTCTCGTCAATAGATGCATAAGCTTGGTTTTTACTTTCAACGTTATCAGAAAGGTATCTATATAGATAGACATGAATGATCAGATGTTGTTGCTTATCGTCAAATCCTTTCTTGAGGAAGTTGCACAACTTGAGCACTTTATATCTAAGTGGCTTGACAAAGATTGTAAAATAAGGACTTTTCTGCAGCTGAATAATAATGAAAAAGAACAGGTATGGGTAACCCATGATGAAAGTACCTTCTATGCTTATGACAGGCCACATTCTGTATGGGACCTGAAAGGGGAACAGCCACTATAAAAAAAAGGATTAGGACCTTGTGTGCATATAAGTGACTTCTTAACAAAAACAGTAGGGTCTCTTAAAGACAGTCAAGAAGAAGCACATGTTATGATAGTATTAGGTGCCAACTAAGATAGATTTTGGGATTCTGCAAAACTTCTTAAACAAGTCAGGCAAGCGATAGATATCTTTGAGTGAGCACATCTAGGATGTGTGGGTGTTTTTGTCTTCGATAATGCTACTTCATATACAGCTTTTGCTGAGAATGCTTTTGTAGTCTCTAAAATGAATCTTAGTCTAGGAGGATCAGCTTCAAAAATAAGAGATACAATATGGAATAGTAATCGTCAGTCGATGGTTATTGAAGAAGATTATTTTGTTTATGACAAAAAAAAAAA